TTTCCAATACACCATCTGTTTTTACATATCATCGTATTTATAAATGGTCACAACGTTCACAATAAAGTCACATCTAAGAACACTAGCACTGTGAAAAGTGCACGGGTAGCCACAGGCTGTAGCACTCAAACGCATGCGTGCGGTGCAGAACGCATCCGCTCACCAGGAACGTTCAGTGCGATTTTTTTAAATAATAAACTAGACACAAACGCAAACGATAATTAATAATTATTTGAACATCAGTATGTAATTGATATCAAACCCAAAGGGACGAAAGTCACGTGGTGTGATGTGTCAATACCACGAGCCTGAGTAGAAATGAATAATTTATAACTTCATTTGCGTTCATACTCAGGTGACTATCATGGATCCTTCGACACGGCTCACTGGTGTCACTATCTGGTTGCCCAGCGATGAACTTCCATGATGACAATATCATACCAAGGTTTCAGCGCTAACGTAACAACCATTTGAAATGATGGTAACAGTTTGAAAGTTTGGGCGCCCTCCCACGGCTTAAACGGTCTCGTCTGTCGAATGAAAGAGGGCGCTGTAGTGTACGACATACACTATAGTGCTTCTGTTCACAATCACGTCAGTACATACATGTGCCTCTTATAACCAACACAAAACAGTAATTCATGTTGTTTCATTTTTTCATTGTTGAACCATATTTCCTTGTATACCCATCTCCTTTAAGTAGTCACAACGGGATACACCGCCAACAACAAGTGTGTCCATTGACGACGTTCCTAAAAATACCAGTTCTGGAAATTGGAATTTAAAAGTGTCGTTGATTGTTTGAACTCAGATGAACACACGTAATGCACGTGTACTTGGCGTAAACCATATTTATTATTAACTAATAATAATAATAATAATAATAATAATAATAATAATAATAATAATAATAATAATAATAATAATAATAATAATAATAATAATAATAATAATAATAATAATAATAATTGTAGTTGTTTTGTCGTTGTTATCGTATCACCATTGGAATCTTAGTTTATATACAAAATACGGAAACACGATTAACTACTATAATTGTTATTATTACAAACAAGTACAAATACATTATATATTATGTTTTCATTCTAACTTACGCTTGGTTGACATCAAAATACGTAATTAGACGTCAGCTATTGGCTTAGGGTGGACTGACTAGATCTGCACACAAACTAGATGTACGTTCTGGGGTCGAATTATAGTAGTCATAGTTACAGCTTTTCATGCTAAACTCAAATTGCCCATCTCGCCTCAGTTCGCCTTGACAACGAACTTCACAACTTCAACTTTATTTAGAAATGTATATATGTGACGTAGGTTATATATCGTCATCATCAAGACGATGTCGGTTTCAATTTCATAGAGAGTGTATAAGTAATGTCATTTATACACAGTCATTATGAGGCTTTATCTCTGTGATCTTTTCAGCGAGTAAAAAAACGCTAACGTAAGAGACGATACTTTGTTGCTAACACGTCTGTGGGGTCTACTTAGTACATGTAAGTAGGTCGTAATGGGATGAGATTACCCGTCATCTATTTTCACTTTAGACTGTTATTACTAAAAGGGCAAAATAAACACCATACTGGCTATCGATGACGTCAAACAATTTTTTTATTAAATGTTAAAAAGTGATGTGTTGTTTACGAGAGGTGGGGGTGGGGGCTTGTAGACGTTCCTGATGTATGAGTATTAAATACAGTGTACTTTTCGGCTGGCTTCGTTCGAACTGTAAATGCATTGGAAGTGTAATATCATTTATGACTATTTCACGTTGAACTTGATGATATCATAAAATTTAATCTGAACTATACACAACTTTGGTTAGAATCATTTGGTTTTTCCGCTATCCGTGTAATTATTTACCGAGTAAATCGCCTTCATAATCTAATCTGATCCCGGGTTCTGATCCACCATCGATTCTGTTCCAACACCGTGACTACTAGTATGTACGGCATGCTATAATGTCACGTAGCATAATGATAGCATGACGTCATGTTCAACTTTGACCTTCATTAAACGACGAAGTAGAACGTTATGCGTAAAGAGCACGAGCGCGGAGAAATATCTTCTGCTAAGATCATTACAGCTAAGACGTTTGACTATCATACAAAACATATATTGTACGTGATATCACGTACAACTAAAACGACCCACACAGCTGATGCCTTCAAATAATCCGTTATTTGTAAAAACTCTGTTGCCTCAAGTTTAAAATATCCATCGTTTTTTGACATTTAACGACCAAAGTTAAAAATACTCGTATTTACTAATTCATTTTCACAGTCACGATGAAGGCACGAGGTAGCTGTTAATAACAAACAAGCTAAGAGCGACTGTTGACTGACTGTCCACCAACTTTTGAATATCCGACCCAGACTGAACCACGGAGAATGTGTACACGCGCCCGCTAAACAGCAATACCACAATTTGTAGATATTTTGATATTGTTTACATTGATTTGTTTGTTTATAATATTGTACTATATTTTGTTATTTAACCATTTTAATTCCTTCTGGAGTATTGTATGTGTATTCTTAACGTAATTTCGGTCACTCCCGTAGAGTTGTTTTTAAAATAAGCAACATGTCAAAGCAAGCAGTCGCAATCCACCAGATTACGTTGATCATGTGTGATTTACCGTAGGCGATTTAGCGTTAGATTTAATAATTTGATGGTATTACAGCAAATCCTTCCCGCCTGTATGTGCATTTCCAATCGCTGACGTCACACGCCAAAAATGAGCTGTAATTGAAATAGCCAATTTCATTAGACTGATTACACGAAACGAAAAACAACTACGGAAAATATTCCACGATAATCCCCAACTGCTACAGTGAGTACTATATAGCACAATGTGAATATGAGGGTAATATATAGCGAGTACTATATCACAAAGTGTGAATGTGAGGGTAATATACAGTGAGTACTATATCACAAAGTGTGAATATGAGGGTAATATACAGTGAGTACTATATCACAAAGTGTGAATATGAGGGTAATATACAGTGAGTACTATATCAGAATGTGTGAATATGAGGGTAATACACAGTGAGTACTATATCACAAAGTGTGAATATGAGGGTAATATACAGTGAGTACTATATCACAAAGTGTGAATATGAGGGTAATATACAGTGAGTACTATATCACAAAGTGTGAATATGAGGGTAATATACAGTGAGTACTATATCACAAAGTGTGAATATGAGGGTAATATACAGTGAGTACTATATCAGAATGTGTGAATATGAGGGTAATATACAGTGAGTACTATATCACAAAGTGTGAATGTGAGGGTAATATACAGTGAGTACTATATCACAAAGTGTGAATATGAGGGTAATATACAGTGAGTACTATATCACAAAGTGTGAATATGAGGGTAATATACAGTGAGTACTATATCAGAATGTGTGAATATGAGGGTAATATACAGTGAGTACTATATCACAAAGTGTGAATATGAGGGTAATATACAGTGAGTACTATATAGCACAATGTGAATATGAGGGTAATATATAGCGAGTACTATATCACAAAGTGTGAATGTGAGGGTAATATACAGTGAGTACTATATCAGAATGTGTGAATATGAGGGTAATACACAGTGAGTAATACTGTGAAATACTTTATTTTCGCTGGAATTAATTTTCGCTGAAAAGGCTTTTTGGGCGTTTTGCGTGGAACTTATTTTCACTGATTTTTGACGAGTTTAATGTGAAATATAGGAAAAAAAGTATATTCGCTGGGTTTTATTTTCACGGAATCATCCCTTCAGCGAAAATAGGGAAAATAAATTCCAAGCGAAAATAAAGTATTCTACAATATATCACAATGTGAATATGAGGGTAATATACAGTGAGTACTATATCACAATGTGTGAATATGAGGGTAATATACAGTGAGTACTTTATCACAATGTGTGAATATGAGGGTAATATACAGTGAGTACTATATCACAATGTGTGAATATGAGGGTAATATACAGTGAGTACTTTATCACAATGTGTGAATATGAAGGTAATATACAGTGAGTACTTTATCACAATGTGTGAATATGAGGGTAATTTGAGCACTACAAATATGATTATGAACATGCATAGCATATTTATTAGATGAAAAATGCAAACCACCATTATTACACACATGTGCACTGAAACAACCAGCACACATGCGCATTAGAAACGTCATTGTTTCATCAAACCAATACTCACAATAGGCTACAAAAACAGTCCAATGCATTTATCAATTTACAGTATCAAACAAAGATAAATGCATGTTTTGGTCCATTTTGCATTTTTAAAGATTGTGTGGAAGGTTCTTCTCAACAAATAATTATCATTGCCTCTACAGGGCGCCACAGAAAAAAATTAGCTCATCCAAAAACAAGCATGGTTTCTTCTGATTTTCAGTAAATTTTGCATTCTTCAGTCAGGATTACTGATTGCACTTGATGAACAAATCTTTACATTATATATGACTGACTCGTGGGAAAATAAAAGTGCATCCAGCTGCATGTAAATTGCAATTACCACTACGCATACAATTATCATTGGTACAGACACCACTTGTTCTTATTAGTAGATTCACACTGCACCTGAAAGCCATTTCAATCAATCTCACAATAATGCAATGTTGCAAATAATTTAATTCAGACGATGGAATTTTGTATTAAAATAATTTCTCATACAAAAATAATTTCATTAAAATATATACAGATTATTGGTCTTATTTGTATTATTCTAAGACAAAAAATCAAATCATGGATTTGTACTTAATTTTTAAAGTATTTCAAAAGGTATAAATGCTGACTTGTGAGGTAAAAATATTTAAAAGAAAAAATGACAATGATGGAAGTTATTATAGTATAAAAGTTAGTTGTCAATCGCTTTAATCTCTAGCAACAAAAACTATTACTATTTCAACTACATTCAATATTACTTTTGTTGTGAGATGAGAATATTCTAAGACACCACTGCCGCATCAAAGTAATCTAAAAAAATTACAAATCTCATTGGGGGGCGGGACAGAAGGAGAGGGGGGTACAATCAATTGCTTTACCAGCGCATGCTACTATAACATGCAGTCAAATTATATAACCACAAAATCTGAACTGAAAAGTAAATTTAAGTAGCATCTGATGCAGGAATCGCAGAAATTTCAGAAAAATATTTACTGACAGTAATATGAATAAAGTACATTTAAGTAATTTAATATTTCAGATACAATTGCAGAAATATGTACCAGTAGTTTGCACAGACATTATGTTCCAGCCCCCTGAAAATGATATTTACCAGTCTCACCAGTGCAGAATTTCAAACCCATGCTACTAAGTACAAGTATAACCAATAAAGTATTTACACAGTTTTAAGCTGGATTTCTTTGCTAATGAATAAGAAGTAAACTGTCATAAGACAGACATGAATAAGACAGTACTGTCATAGTAGGACTAGTAGGAATGCTTGTAATGCACACACAGGGAGAAAGCTGCGTAGCTTTTTATATGTGCATCAAGTATGACTGACACCTTGCACAGCAATTCCTAAGAAGTGCATGTCAATATAATTCACTGCCACCTAAGATGAGATATAGCAGTGAACAAGAAAACACATAGACAGTATTTATTGTATGTGTTTTCAGAATCGGACACACTATTACATGCTCAGTTGTAATTCCATTGTAACAGTGTAGGTAATAACATACATCACAAGCTGACCAAGTCAAAACAAAATAAATACTTTGGACACAATCATTCTTCTCTGATCCTTTCATTTATGCCATTATTTCTCTCTCTGGCTGCAAAAAAAAAATAAAAAATAAAACCATTGTAAGAATTCAGCAATTTCCTGGTAGTGTGTTTAAAGTTTACAAAGTAAACTGAAATTGTATTGACAATGATAGCTGAAATAAAGTAACAAAAAATCATAATTGGCCGTCAATTTTCCATATTTGATTAACATCAATTATGTGTAGATTTTGAATTGCTTACCTCCATAGAAAAACTTGGCATTGGTGGCAGAAATCTTTCTCTGAATTCAGAATCAGAGAGTGACAATGGATCTCTTGATATGTTGTCACCATGGATAGTAGTTCTAGTTTTGCTGAAAGACCATCCCATCGGTGACATGTCTAACTTTGGTGGAGACAACTGTTGAGACTGGTCTGTAAAATATAAATCAAACAAGTCATTGAAAATGACACAGTCCCCGTAAAATTTTTGAAAGTTCTCTTTGTGCTCGTCATATTAAAGTGGAGGGGTTGTCGCGAGTGTGTCCTTGAAACTTGAGTCCCAAGTGGCGTATACAACAGATTGTTTATTTACATCGATTTCGAACACGTGTTGCGTGACGACCCCTCTGGTTTAAGACATAGCAAAGGAAAACATAGATCACAAGAGAAATCATGTATAGGTTATCACATTTTAAACAAACAAGATGGCCGCCAGTCAGCCATATTTGATCAAATTGCAAATTGAATTGACATGTACATGTATCCATTTATGACATACTAAATATCAATGAAAATGATACATGGGTGACACAGATATAGTAATATGGACAAAAACAAAAACAGCCATTATTCAGGCATCTTTGATCTGATTATGAAACAAAGTGACATGTATGATGTACGTGCCAAATACGAATGAAAATGGTACATAAATCTTGAAAATATAGTAGTAAGGCCAAAAATTCAGATGGCTGTGAATCAGTCATAGATGATCAGATTTTGAAACAAACTGTCATGAACATGTATCCTAACATGAATAAAATATGTGCCAAATTTGAATAAAAACTGAAAAAGCATGTCCAAAATACAATATTTTCAAAAAACAAGATGGCTGCCAGTCGACCATTTTGAATCGAATTGCTAAACCACTGCATGTGCATATTCCCCACATAAAGTACTCGGCACATGCGAAGAATGAACAGAATCAGTCCAAAGGATTCTGAAATATGGCTCTGGACGGATGAACGCACAGACGGATGCACGGACGGTCGAAGGACATGTATCCTAACATGTATAATCTATGTACTAAATTTGAATGAAAACTGACAAAGCATTTCCAAAATACAACATTTTAAAAAAAACAAGATGGCTGCCAGTCGGCCATTTTGAATCGAATCACTAAACCACTGCATGTGCATATGTCCCACATAAAGTACGAGACACATGCAAAGAATGAACGAAATCGGTCCTAAGGATTCTGAAATATGACTTCGGACGGACACACAGAGACCGAATTATAAGTCCCTGTTTACAGACTTCGTCTGAACGGTGACTAGTAAATGACCACAGTGTATACTATGCCAGATTTTATAAAATGAACTGAAACATGTAACAGTAAGACTGACAACATACTGAATCAATGCTATGCATGCCTTTGGTATATCAATGGTATGTCAGCTTTAGTGAGACTCCTGTGAGCGCCCTCTAATGGTGACCAATAGTTTGTGAATACCGTAGAGATGTACATTGAGTTGAGTATGAATAAAACACAGGTTTACCCCACTGATATATTTACAATGCAATCTAGCTGTTCATTTGTCACCACATGTGAACAAGACACCAAATTTCATTGCAATTCGACTAGTGGTTCTTTTAGATACCTGGTGTGCCTCACACACAAGAGTCAACATTCTTTGTTATTTATTGGACATTACTGTATTTCTTTTATTAGAAATGTCTCATCAAAAAAAGATATCTAAAACTACATTTGTTGTATAGTGAATTGTTAAAATATTATGTAATTTACATGTGTACTAATAGAGGATGTTATAAGGATGCTAAATTGTCTTTAATTACAATGCCTTCAATATTTAAATCAAATATTAGTTTGCTAATTGCATACAACTTTAGTAAATGAATGAGTTATGAATAAAATTATTTAAATCAGGTATTAGTTTGCTAATTGAATACAACTTCAGTAAATGAATGAGTTTTGAATACAAATATTTATAAAAAAAACACAGTAACTTACATCTAGATCGAGGTGACGTTGGTGAACTATGGGAAGGCATGTGTAAATTAGGGGTAGATCGCATTACAGTAGGTGGTGTATTACTGATATGTACACGTCTCTTGTAAGTTGGACTCGGTGAAGGGCTCAGACTTTTGAGTCTAGTAGCTTTCAAAGAGGCATCAAGTCTTCTTTGCTTCTGTTCCTCAGCAGATTTCTTAGCATCTTGCAAGTGTTGTTGAAGAACACCGATAGTCTGTTTGTACCTAGTAATTGCAACACATTAGTTACTATTAAAATAAGAACTATTAATCAAGTATTAACACAAAATGTAAAGTTGAATAATAAGTAGAAATTTTTAATAAATAATAATTAGGATTTACTTGTTGTATCTTTCATTAATCTTCTCTCTTTCCAACTGTAGTTCCTATAAAAATCACAATATTATTATTTTAGAATTTAGTTGATTTCAACAGTTTACAAATCAATATTTTTTTGCAAAAGAACTGATAGTGTAATTTTTCTATTAGTAGTATATGTGCTTAAACACGTGTTTCAAAATACTTCACTTTTTAATAATGGCTTAGATTTACTAGTAGGAGATGTGCTTTCAATACAGAGAATACAGTATATTCATTTCATGATATAGGATAACAATAACTAACCTTCAACTGTTTGAAATCTTTATGTATTTCAGGTAACACACTTGTATCACTCTCCGGAATTGAATCCAGACTTCTCTCCAATGCCTTTGCTCTCTGTAAGTTACAAGGACAACATAGGAATGTTGTTATTGTCATAGCAACAGAAATAATACCAACAAATGCAAAGACTAAAATATTAGTTATTTAAACCGAAAACTTACAGTTTCAATTTGTCTTGTGAGTTCTGCAATTTGGTCTTCCAGTGCATACACTTTCTCGCTTTTTTCTTTATTATTGACTTCCAGAACTGCAAAAAAAAAAAAAAAATAATTAAATTCACCAGATTTTTTGTAATTTATAATATTGGCTTCTAAAATTTTGACCATTCGCATTATGCACAAAATTCATGTTGAAAAAGTAAAAAATATACCAGTAGTTGCTATGGTAAATATAAAATTCTTACCTTGTTTCTGCATAGCATTCTCACTGTTATGGTAAATATAAAATTCTTACCTTGTTTCTGCATAGCAACCTCACTGTTATGGTAAACATAAAATTCTTACCTTATTTTTGCATAGCAACCTCACTGTTATGGTAAATATAAAATTCTTACCTTGTTTCTGCATAGCAACCTCACTGTTATGGTAAATATAAAATTCTTACCTTGTTTCTGCATAGCAACCTCACTGTTATGGTAAATATAAAATTCTTACCTTGTTTCTGCATAGCAACCTCACTGTTATGGTAAACATAAAATTCTTACCTTGTTTCTGCATAGCAACCTCATCTAATATTTCTCCTTGTCTTTGTAATTCTGATTCGTAATAATGTCTGTCTTTCATTCCGGCTGACACTGCCTCATGAACGTCAGTCCTACTACGATTTAATTCATGTTTCAAAGACTTCTCACTTTCTTGTCTTTGTCTAGCCTCCTCTTGCATCCATTGTAGTTTCATCTGAGTAAATAAAACAGTATTTATTAAGATCATTTGCTATTCAAGTACTGAGATAACGCCATATTTTAAATGTATTTTAATATAAAACTGGTTTTAATTTGGCTATTTTTAATAATTACTAAGTTAAATCATGTGGATTATTAGTAAGAAGTTTTACCTTCATTAGTACAAAGCAGCGCACAGGTCAGGCATTTAGTACTTTATGTATGTTCGTAATGAAATTCAAAGGTAATCAAAGAAAGCTTAGAAAGAACTCCTGTGTGCTAAGAGAATTGGAGGCACATGAAGTAAAATTAAAAATATTTAAAATTAATTCAAAATCAAGAAGCCTGAAGACAAGTCTGCTATTTGAGACGCACAATGTGACTCACAGTATTAAAGTTTATAATATTGACAGAAAGTTCTTATTAAAACAAAAGGAATACATTTGCATTGACATTTGATTTGTATATGTGCAACATGTTGAATTAAAATCTGATTTTTGAGATATATCATCTGCATTATTTTCAAACCTAAACTAATCACTTCTATAGATTACCCCCAGAGCACATATGTATCAAGTTTCATTGAAACCTACTGAGTTGTTGAAATATCCAAAAAAAAAGGTATCCAAGGCACTGTTTCATTGAAATGAGATGAAATTTGGTTATTTATGCAAGTTAAATAACTAGTATGTACCGTGTGTACCAAGTTTCATTGAAATGTAATGATTGGTTCTTGAGATAATGATGGTGACACACACACTCCCAATGTGTGCTTTAGGTGACCCATAACACTTAGCAACACAGATATGTGTTATGGAACTATATAACTATGGGAAAAATAGCCAGTAACTAAAAAATTGCCATGCATGTTTCCAATGCGATTTGCAAAAAGTCATTACATTTTGAAGATCAAAGGTTAAAAATCACAGTATGTGTCTGTGTATTACACAATACAACTGCAAGTGAAACTGTATATTACCACCTTCTTTATAAACATGATCCCCCAAGAAACTTGCAAGGTTACCAAGTGTTATTGATACTTAAGTAATCTGTTGCAGGCATGTTGGCATCTGCTTAGAGTGTTGTCTACTTTTATTATCAAATTGGTGAATTTAAAATCAGTAAATAAACCCAATCAACATGAAATAATGCTTTTTACAGTTATAAATACTGTATGACAAAAAGCTAGACATAAACGCAAACATATCCATAAATGGTGCTCCAATTATTTGTTAATGGCATTATCTGGGACAGCTGCACTATGTCCTCCCCCCCCCTCGAATAAAATCATCAATCATGCAACTAGTTACTTATAGATTCTGATAGATTACACATTCTGTTTTAGTAAATGTTAGCTGTGATATTGTTCTGTCATAAACACATGAAAAGTATTTTGCATTATGATAAAATGACTAACAGGACATAATTATTTGCGTGTTAATATCTTATGTACACAAAGTCAACGAGTAATATCTTCATTCAATATTTATATTTCAGCTTCCACATTAACCTAATTGACAGTACATCTGCTCATATTTCTGGATCAAAATCTCTGATAACATAAGCTGACATTATACTGTTGTGATTTGTTTGTAATGAAATTCAAAGGTAATCAAAGAAAGCTTAGAAAGAACTCCTGTTTGCTAAGAGAATTGGAGGCACATGAAGTAAAATTAAAAATATTTAAAATTAATTCAAAATCAGGAAGCCTGAAGACAAGTCTGCTATTTGAGACGCACAATGTGACTCACAGTATTAAAGTTTATAATGTTGACAGAAAGTTCTTATTACCGGTAAAACAAAAGGAAAACATTTGCATTGACATTTGATTTGTATATGTGCAACATGTTGAATTAAAATCTGATTTTTGAGATATATCATCTGCATTATTTTCAAACCTATAAACATATAAACACATGAAAAATATTTTGCATTATGATAAAATGACTAACAGGACATAATTATTTGCGTGTTAATATCTTATGTACACAAAGTCAACGAGTAATATCTTCATTCAATATTTATATTTCAGCTTCCACATTAACCTAATTGACAGTACAGTACATCTGCTCATATTTCTGGATCAAAATCTCTGATAACATAAGCTGACATTATACTGTTGTGATTTAAGAAATGTGAAAATAGTCAATAACAGTGATTGTATATTTCCTACCTTTTTATCAGCAAGCCATTTTTGTGTGTCTGTATAGATGCCCTTGGTAGGAGGTGACAGGATCTAATTTGTTAGCAAAGGAATTAGAATGAAGGTTAAATGTGATTGCAACTGTAAATTACCCATAGTACCCTTAAATGAAGTAATGTCAATTACAGAGTTGTAAATTCATGTTAATAGTTGTTTGTGATTCATAGTTATTATAATATCATTAGTTTTTTTATGAAAGAGGTATGATTTGTTATTGCCATACTAAGAGACATGCTTGCTTACTTGGAATTTTTCTTTGGATGACATCCATGCTAGGAGATCTATTTCTGAGCCAACACTATGCAGCATGTTTTCATACTCAATCTGAAGTTGTTCTAACTCATTGTGGGTCTGTTGTAAATCTCTTTCTAGCTCAGCAACTCTGAAAAGAAAAATACTATCAGTTTGTGGAAATATTGTCCTTGTAGGCACTGTGTCTTTCAAAACAGGCATGCTATGATCTACAAACTAACATGTAAATACTGATGTGACCTATAAACTGGTAAATAGTGGTCCAGGACGGATGTCCACTTGACCAGAAAGTAGACCAAATATTTATTCAAATAGTAATACATTTTTGAGTTAAGAAAAATATTGAATGAATTTATCATACCTATTATCACCTTCTTCGGCATGCTGTGTTTTTTCCTCTAATCCTAGTTTTAGTCGTTCATATTTCTTTTTAACTCTCATGAATTCATCCTGTGAATGTGCCAGATCTTCACAAACTTTCTCTAGTTCCAATTTCATCTTTTCAGCCTGCCTTCTTAGTTGTTTAATGGTGGATTTATCATCTGCTTTGCTCAGCTAATGAAGATGAAATAAGGTGTTCATTAGCCAGTATGTATTCAGCAAGGCACATCATTGAACTATTGTGTAACTAACATAACATTTACTATCAAGACTCTTTTACCCTTGAATTGTACAATTAATTTCACATTTTTTTAAAAAATTGTGATGTGTAGTCAATGTGAAATTATATTCATTTTGTCCAAAATTAACAAACAACTGTTAGAAAAATGCATTAAAAAATGCAAAATTTTGCATAAACGAGAATGGTTGTACTTGAACTGTAGCACGTCTTATAAAGACATAATTGTTAGCATTAGAATTCAAATTTAACCCTGAACCCTGTGTGATCAGAAACCTGTCTAAACTGAATATC